GAAAAACTGGCAAGAAGAGCTGGATAGCTTGAGTTTGCATCCATGCAGAGAACGGTAAAGGAGCAGGGCCATCTAGGAAGGTCAGAGAGAGAAGAGAGCTCCAGACAGACATTTAACTGTGAAATAACTTTTCCATGTATCTAAACATTAGCTGTGGGATCTGGGGAAAAAAGCAGGTAAATACAATATTCTTGATCCTTATGTTAATACCAACAAATATAGCAATTAATACTACTAATATAGTGGTAGTGATATTTAATTTGGTCATTAAGAACCATCCTGAAACCTCATGAGAACACGTTATTACTTAGCATGGCTACTCCAGACCCAATAAGCATGCAGATCTATAAAACAGAAGTACTCTCCATCTTGCTACTAATCCTTATTAAAAGGAGGACCGATTCCAGCATTGTTCAGTCCTGAAAAGTGGCAGAAACTAGACAAAATGCAAACAATTTAGAACACTACTTTTCTTCACCTCTAAAGTTATTTGGCCACAAAGTGGTGCTAGCAGTTCTTTTTCACCATGTCAAGCACCTCCAATACACATAGAAATGTAACAGCAAGCAGTTAATCAGTGCCAGCAGATATCCCCATTGAAACATGATTTCCTAAATCTGCCTCTCCTCTACTCTCAAATATTGGGGGGGCATGTGTATGTGTGTCCATTTAATGTTTGGGAGGGTTGAGGGCTTTTTTCCCCATTATGAATCCCTGGGTTTATATTTGGTCTTTATTATTGCACAAGATAACAATGTTTTCAGTGGTTTCACCTCTTAGCAAAGTGAGGTTCAAGATAAGATATCAACTTGAGAATGTAATAAACCATTCTCCTTTCTTCTCTCAGCCCAGTCACATAAATAAGGTGTTAATCCTGTAAATCCTTTTTAAGCTAGCTTCTGAACAATTTAAGCAAATCATTTGTCCTGTTCATCTTAATGCAACAATACATGTAGTAAACACATGTGTGTTTTCTTGTGTGAAACTCTTCAGTTACCAGAACTTTCCACTATCTTACTCCCTATGAGAACACTTACACTTGCTCTGCATGTCTGGTACAAAGAAACTTTTCACCATACCCTCAAAGCTACAGTATACGTACGAAATGTTACTTGAAAAGATTCATTTACACCACTTTAGATCCTAACAGAAATCCCAAAGTAGTTAAGGACTAGTTTATCAATGTCCTTTTACTTCTAACAGAATGCCATTAGAAATTGTCATGGCCATTCAGACAGTACAGGAAAGACACTAAACAAAATCTACCTTTATTTTTGCAGCAAGGCAAATGAAAAGTTTTAAACCCCCTGATTGCTTTTTGGAAACATTCACGTTTGGCGTCAGGGAACTAGACAAATGACAGCAGACATCAGCTATGCTCTAAGCAATGACCAAGCTACAGAAAAGCCATGTAATTAATTAATTAGCCAAGTATTGTGTAAGGTACTCCTAAGAGTTCTTCCTGAAGGTAAAGTGAAGTGTTCTTCACAACCATTTCCATATTTTCTCACATAAACTGATAAAATATTTAACTGCATGAACTGATAAAACTTCTGAGGACTTCTGGAGACCACACTTCACTCTGAAATTAATGTAGAATATTCACTTTTTTTTATTAGAACATAAGTTGGACACTAAAGGGATTCCTGAAGGGAAGGTAATTCCAACCGTAGATTTAGTGTTACTAGAAAAAACTGATACTGTATTTTTCCTGTTGCTAAAGAGATTGCTTCCAATATATACACAGTAAAAACTGGTGTCTGCTTTTATCTCAATAAAACATTAAAGAAACAGACATATTAAAAAATTGCTCAATAAAATAGAAGTGGAGGGATTTTGAGGCACTAATGCAGTTAGTTGTCTTTCTATTTGAAAAGATGGACTTAATTTCTACTCTAAAATTTTCCAGATAACATGGAACAGTACCATAGCTATATATAGTGGGGAGTTTGTGGTATTTTCCCCGTCCCCCCCCCCCCCCTTCCCCCCCCCCCATTTTCCATGTGAACCTGGCAATATTTTTATGAGTGTTTTACAATTTTGTCACATACTACAAGTTATATAATGACTCTTGTTTTCAGGGAGAATGTTGGTCCTTGCAGAAAAATCTATGACAAAACCCAAACAAATAGAAAATAATTCTGATGGCTCTGTACCACAAAAGTGCCCAGCACATATCCAAATGTGTGGTGATCACATGCATGTGTATAAAATCTATGCCAATGTAGAGCTCCAAAAAACAGAACATATTGCATGTTTTTACAGCAGATTGTGTTACAAGGTAGTCAGTGTTATTTTGCACTGATACTATCATTGTCTGCAAAGTACATTAGGTTGCACAGAGTTGTTATACATCAGAACATTCTTTTGGTCTGAATGCAGCCTGAAAACATATTTTGGGAATTACAGATGTTTGCTTTACAGAAAGCTAGATAAACTGCTAGTATTGTATTTTTTAGATCATTCTGTTCCTAAACACGTTCTTGCCACATTATATTTAATAACTTCACAGGTGATTTGGAAGAAAATATAAAATCATTGCTTAATAAAGTTTTTAGCTGCACAAAAAATAGTGGAGTGCTATGTAATAATCAGGAAAGGTTAGTTTTAGAGACTGAGTACAACCTTTTTCTAAAAGTAGGCTCATTTGAACAAACCAGCCAACTGTAATTTCAGACTTATCAGGAATTTGTGTCATTACTGGAATAAAAGATTGTATCCTAGAAAGTAGTGACTCTGGACAATAGTATCATGTTGTATGACCAACTGAAATGAAAATTTTACTGGAAAAGTGGCTTAAGGGAATTCCGTGCACCTGAGTATGGGAATACAGAGGAAGTAATATTTCTGTTTCCAGGACTAGTAAAATAATTTTTTTTTTAATATTGTACCTAGTTCTTCACTGGTCTTCCCCAAACTTCTGCATGGAATTAGTCAACAGCTTCTCAGAATGAATACTTTATGCAACAGCACTGCAGTTCCAAAATGCATATGAAGTTAAAATACTTCAGATCAGCGATTGGATGCTGAAGGCCTTTGAGTTGCCAAAGATTTAGGGAATTTAATGTTCGGACATGATATATCTTACAAGCCTGGTTTTGCTTAGTCTGTGAGCAAAGACGCCAAGTTCATTTCTAGGTTGTTTTGTGTTACAGTGTATTCCAACCATACAGGTAAACCACTACTTTGTGCAGTGATAACATCTAATATTAATCTCTGCTATCTAAACAAATATTTACTGGAATACACATTTGATTGGTATACTTTATCTGAATTTTAAAATCAAGATGCGAGGCTCCTCCTCTATCCTGGTCTCAACATTTACAGTTCAGTGCTGTAAAAACTAATGCACAAAGCGCCATAACTCAGCTTTCTGAAAGATATTTGCTGTATGCAGTTCAGACTGACCACTCTTTTTGCACATCATAAGCATAACCAACATGTTCAGTAACATCCACTTCAAGAATTTCATTTCCCTCTGCTAGAACATGCTACTAGCAAGAACAGCAGAAGGCTAAAGGTAAGATGTTCTAAATTATAGTTCACATGGATGTGTAACAGAAAATTTTAATGCTAAACACTTTTAAATGACTTTAAGGAAAAAAAAAGCAATTCAGTAAGATGATATGAATGATCTAATACATAGGAGAAGAATTGTTAGGTGAAACTGTAATAGTAAGTGTTATTGTTGTGAGTTAGTTTCTGGATGCTCAACCATGAAAAGGATTGATTATTATACAAAATGAAAATGCATGTTCTCGTTTCTGCACTTACAGTATCATTTCTAATTCAGACAGCAAATTACAAGAATAGCCTTTCAACACCGAATGTGGGGAAGACTAATGATCATTTGGCTAGTTGTAAAATTCAGCAATACTTTAGGACACCTCAAATACTTTTGTGGGTCCCTATTCTTCTGGAAACACTCTATGCCTTACTCATTTACTATTTATCTATCTTCTGCTTTTCTTGTGCCAAAGGTCTGTTCAGGCTTTGCAGCAGAATTTAGCTTTTCGTACTCATCTTCCCTAGATGAAGAAAATGTGTTTTCTAACATGCTGCTTGGAGAAGCGTTAGAAATATTATTGTATTCTGCTTACATGACAACCCTGAAGCAGTTAACTGCAAATTATGTAAACAGGCAAACCTGTGACATTTCACTACAAAGCTTACAAGGAAACATAACTGCGAACAATTGTAAATCTGTTAGTTGCTATCAACACAATAGCCTTTAAAAAGACATTTGGTTCTAGTGGAATGGTTTTTGGGATAAAAAAGGTCTGTTTGGTCATCGGGGTTATCCAAATACAATTGCTTGAAAATGATACTGTGAGGAATGATCCTAACCCAGCAACAGCACTTACCTGATGATAGCACAAATAAGGTATCTAAAAAAGGTTCTAAATGTACATGATTTACATCATAAAAATATCCTTTTTTTTAATATATCAACATTGTCTTTAATCCCATCTTGCTTTTATGAGTGATGATAACAGATCTAGTCTCTGGAAAACTGATATTCACAATGAAAACAGTGTTTTCCATTACTTTTATTCCCAAGAAAAAAATGGGCAGATACCTCTTCTGATCATGTACACAGTTCAGTGACAATTAATTACGGTAGAAGTGGCTGGCTTTTTATCCTTTATGAACTTTAAACTTTGGTAATATTCTAATAAAATTGTTTTTCTCTATTTTTTGCAACATGGTTTAATATGTAAACTACCAGTCTGGAATTTTATCACTAAATTGAAAAACCAGCTAAAAAACTTCAAGGATTACTCTTCTTTTACTCTATCAATAGCTTTTAAAGTTTTAAATGAAAAAAACACTGAGAAACATAGAGGTCTGCATTAAAAGAAGTAAAATGAGAAAAATTCTCATTTAGACATATGGATATACCAAGTATCTACTCCTACATGTGCTTATTAAATGCCCAAGTTCATGTTTTGCTACTCATTTTTAAAGTTGCTTCACCAATCAATTATCATATTTCTTACTTTCACTTTGACTTCCATTTCTTCAAGCTCTTGAAGTAACTCTTCATTTTCCAATAGAGATGAGCCTAAGTTTTGCTTGTGAAAATAATCTCTGATGTTTTTCTTGTACCAAGATGTTACCTAAATAAATAATAAAAAGAATTCAGTCAGTGAAAAATTTGAGAAGCAACTGTCCATTTTTTAAAATATGTACAAAACAGTTTCATCTACAAAAGGCCTAATTTTCATTCCTTTCATTTTTCATTCCTAATGTTCATGCTTTTATTCAAATGTTTGCATTTGTATTATTTAAATGTTAATAAATGCAAAAGGAAAGGATTGTGGTGAAAACAAACACGTATTGGAATATATGTTACAAAATAGACAAAAAAGTATTCATAAAGTATGACCAAATTATGAATTAAGACAGTAAAAGAAGAATCAAGTTTTAGTCACCCATAGAATAAACGCATTTTTATAACACAATAAAGATATTGTACATTTTCCCTAGAATCACATTAACTTAAAAATATTCCTTTGTGTAAAAGTAAAGTAAAAGACTATAAATCTGAGTAGTTTTGCAAGAACACAAAAAAAAAAAAAAGAAAAAGAAAAAAAAAAGACTAAATGGGCCTTATGACCTAATAGAACCTCTCCATTCCTGGCTTTAAAAACCCAGTGAAGCTATTGAGATAATATTATGTAGAATAATCTTTAGTAGCTTAAAAAAAAAACTATTACATCTTATTAGACTTACTTCAGCAAGTATATGCAGCAAACATATGCAGTATACAAGTATATCTTCTAAATTGAACAGAATGGCTTGCATTTATTTCTGCTTGATTTACAGTAGGTACATCTCACTTTCTTTGTAAACAGCACATGGCAAGAATTCCTGAGTGAAACTTTGCATTTTAAAATAGTAGTCAGAATGAGTTAATAGTATCAAGGAGACTTCCTCCAATCTTTTCAGTCTGGAAAATCACCGCTATACTTAAATCATATATGGCATACTAAGAATTACTTTGTACTCTAGGTACTATAAATTTCAATAGCACACTACAGATATTTTTTTTTTTTTAGTCTGCTCATGTAGAAGCTATTTTTAATAAATTTAAACAATTTAAAAATGAAAGATACTTTAAAATATGTTGGAAATATTTTCAGTTACAAATAAAAAATTGGGCATGTTATCTCAGGAGTTCAACTGAGCTAGGAAAGTAAACAAATTATTTCACTACCGAGCCTTCATTTCTTGAGCATATCCTCCAGACATGTACTTACTGATTGAAATATTTTTCCTGGAAGCATATTTTCACAGAACATTTACCATAGGTCCACCAAAATACAAATGAATGGAATGGACAATAAAAACTGTGCTAAAAGGGAAAGAAAAATTTCTCTGTAAATTAGGACTGTTCTCTGTATCATGTATCTGCTTAGCAAAACAAACTAGTATTTCTGTAATGCTTTAACCCTGTTACAGTAAAGCTTTCACCCCTTTACCACTTGTCAATATTTCTTTCCATTACAGTGCATTTCATCAGTTGACTTCCGCTACAGCTAATACCACTGAGTGATTTCAGTTGTGCCAGCTTAGCTCTTAAACAACAGCTGGGAATATTTAACCACTTTTTAAGAAACAAACCCACAGAACCTTACTTTCAGTGATTTTTGTGGAGGGATAGGAAAGGAGAGAAGGTTAATGCATCTGTTTGAAAAAGACAGTGTTTTTTCTTGATTGGTTGAAATCTAAAATCACTTCTGTTCTTTAAAAAATAGATTTTAAATAATTATCTGCTCTGTTTGCAATGAATAATCCATATCAGAAATCAAAGGCTCTTCAACATTTTTCTCAGGCTGCTAAACTGCTCATTTTGCATTGATTACAGTCCAGGTGATTTCAATGCTTACATATAGTCTTCCATTGCCTTCCTGCATTTTCCCTTGTCAATTTAGAAGGAGAAGCAAGTTTTCCAACAAATAACTGGGGCAGGGGGGGATCCAAACCAACAGCATACCTTAGCTTGTTGTGGTGGGTTGGCCTTGGCCAGCTGCCAGACACCCACCCAGCCACTCTCTCACTCCTCCTTCTTTCCAGAACAGGGGGAGAAAATGAAAAAGCTCATGGGTCAAGATAAAGACAGGGAGATCACTTAACCAGTTACCATCACATGTGAAACATACTCAACTTGGGGAAAGTGAAATTAATTTATTGTCAATTATAGATTTAGTGAGAAACAAAGACAAAAACTAAAACACCTTCCTCCTACCCAGCTCTTTTCTTCAGGCTCAATTTCACTCCTTCATTCCCAACTCCTCTACCTACGCTCCCTCACCAAGTGGCACAGGGGGATGGGGAATGGGGGTTATGGTCAGTACATAACATTTCCTCTCTGTCACTCCTTCCTCCTCACACTTTTCCCCTAGTCCAGCACGGGTCCCCCAGGGGCTGCAGTTCCTGTCAGGACACCGTGCTCCAGCATGGGCTCTCCATGGCCACAGTTCCTTCAGAGAATATCCAACTGTTCCAGTGTGGACTCCTCTGTGAGCTGCAGTGTAGATATCTGCTCGGATGTGGTCCTCGCCACAGGCTGCAGGGAAATGCCTGCTGTGGTGTGGTCTCTTCCAAAACTTCCACAGGCTGCAGGGGGATACCTGCTCCAGCACCTGGAGCACCTCTTCCCCCTCCCCCCTTCTTCACTGACCTTGGTGTTCACAGCATTGTTTCTCGCTCTTTTTTCTTTCCCCTCACTCCTCACTATGTCTGTGCAGTGTTTTACCCTTTCTTAAATATGTTTTCACAGAGGCGCCACCAGCTTCACTGAGGGGCTCAGCTCCGCCCTGCGGCGGGGCCGCTGCGGAGCCGGCTGGAACCGGCTGTGTCCGGCATGAGGCAGCCCCGGCCTCTCCTGACAGAGGCCGCCAACCCCTGAGCCCTCGCTGCCAGACCTGGACCCTGCGCCCCGTGCACTGGTGTAGCCGGCGATATTTTCAGAAGGAGGGGAATTCTTGCACACACTGGTTCAAAGCTCATACACACATACTTGTCCTGGGGTCTACCAAACTCCTTGAACAATCTGACACTAATGTGAGACTACAGAGAGAAGGAGCAAACATAGCAGAGAACAGAAACTAAGAAGTAACACACTTTTCTTTCTAGAAATTATTCCCACTAGGAAAAACTTTTTCTCACTCCCTTTCTTCCTGTATGTATTAAAACACACATACTTACATGCCATAAATTAAATCTGATCTTACCTCAGGCAGTTTGAACTTGAGCAGCCTGCACTATGTATTTTGACATACCTACTCTGAACTGCAGGATGAGCTATTCTCAAATAATTTCTGCAGTGCATTCACAATCAGCTGACTTTTGTTAAATACCAGACAGGTTTTTTTCATCACAATCATCACTGTATTTGGGTGGCTGATGCTTTATTTACTACCTTAAATCTCAAATAATATTTTTATCATCAGTACATGAAGGCATCATCATGACAAGACAGATCTGTCTTTGTTCATCTTGGGGACATTTCAGTCTCTTCATAACAATACTACCTAAGCCGTTCCCTAATCCTCAGTGTATTATCTTCACAATATTGCTAGTGAAGCACCCTTGTCTGATTTCATAAATAACAAGTTAGGGCAAAATGGGACCACAGACACATTTTTAAAGAAAAATGCAGCACTTCAGTTTAAAGTCTGGGCTTTAGCGATTTTTCTATGATCAAGTACAGCCTTATAAATAGGAGGAATAATAAAATAATCTTTTATGGGAAGAGAACTAAGTATCAGTATTGCATTGTCCCAGAGTAGCTACTAGTGGCTTGTTATACCACGTTTGTGAAGGACTGTAAAAGACCCTGGAAATAAAAAACCTCAACACCACTAAATGTGATGTATACCAGTCCATAAAAGCATTTAAAGTTCTAATATAGTGGAACAGTCCTTTTTGTTTGTGGTGTTTCTTGCCTATGCAGACAAAAGCACTGTATGCTTTTTTTTGGCCTCCTTTTTTTCCTTTTTTTTAAGAAAGACTTTGTTTACACAATGTTCCTAAAAGCAGAAGTTATTTAGAATATTAGCTAATAAGACTAATAATTTCAGTTTTGAAGGGAATGTTTGCAATTGTGAAATATTAAAACCAAGTAATCCATATAGGTACATGCATACCTTAACAACAATACGGATACTCACTGGGAAGATTACGACTGACCAACAATGGAGTGAGTTTGACAGGATGTCAGAAACTCACTTGGTTTCAAGGTGTGGGGCTTTTTTAACATAGGATCAAAGTCTGGAAATCCTATGAAATTGGCCCATATGTGCAAGAGTAGTAAGAGGAACTAAGTTATCACTTTCAGGAGAAACGGGACAGGAGATCAGACATTTGGAAATACACAAGAGGAGAAACACTGGCCATAATTAAGACAGTGGCAAAATCACTGCTAGGTTCACTGGCACCATGATTTCACCAGAAGTAGCTAGCAGAGAAGTAATCTTAAGCTGATCTGATTATAGAGTTTTGAATAAGTTAAACTTATTTAGGTCTAAATGTCTTAGCATTCATTGTAAAATACAATTTTTTATATTTATGATAAAAGCCTTTGCAGAATGTGCTGGAATCAAACATGAAGTCAAAACTTCACAGACAAACTTTATATAACATTTTGATGGTTCAAATAGCTTTATGCATTAGATGATAATCTTCAGATTTGGCTCCAAACTGTCTGAGATAAACTCAATATTTTCATTCTAGCTATCAGCAACAGTAGCAGCACTATGCTGAGTACAGCTATTGGAAAAAACACCAGCAAAGAGTGTGCTACACCAGCAGATGTAGTCCACATTTAGACAATTCTCTACACATTAGCTACTGCTGTGGATTTCTCCTTATATATGTGCACTTACACATTTGGATTTCCAGATCCTCGTTGTCAGATGTTAAAATGAAAATCTCAATTTTTCGTAACCGAGATTTGCTTTCAAGCAAAGAAACAACAGAACCTTTCTATATCCTACCATACAGAAATTCTTCTAGGCAAGAATTTAGTAAGATCATAAACCTATCAATTTAATATGTAAAGATTACAAGTGAAGAAGAATGCTCTGCATTTTTGGGGGTAAAATCTGATGACAGCCTTTAATTCACTGAGCTACACTACTTGATTTTTTATGTCAATTAAACTACCTTTAATGAAAATGAAATTAAAAAAGGGAACTGTGACTTATACCAAGATAGTTTGTTTCCCATATATCTGTCTAGATAGCAAATGTGGGTGTACTCACCTGTCCCTTGAGTTTTACTCAGCTCTTATCTCTGCCCGTGAATAATTTTAATTGTCTCATACATGCATGATTAGATCGATTAAGAAAAATTACTTTCATAAATCTTCTTCCAAAGATAACTAATTATGCACAAAATACGCCAATCTGCCTCTGATTTTCATTAATAAAAGAGATTATCAGAAAATATGATGCTGACACTTCCATAAAGGAAGGTCAGATAACCTTCTCTAAGTGTAAAATAAGTACACTTCTTTCAGATATTAAAAATATTGAAAAAGAAACATGTTAACATGTTACAATCATGACTATCAGATCATCATATTCCAATTAGAGATCAAAGGAAGGTGCTACATTTTTAGTTCTTCAGGAACCAGGTTATAAGTAGCAATCTTTACAGCTGCTTGGCTTTTCTTTTAAAAAAGCAACCCACACATTATGCAGTCTTCCACATCACATAATTATGCCTAGCAAAACAGAGGCAATACAAAGAGCAAAAATCCAGTCTTAGATCTTACACCTCAGAGCTCATCTCCAGTTCTCTGCTTTCTCAGTATCCCCTGAACTCCCATTAATGTCAGTGGGAGTTTAATATGCTGTTCTTGCATATGTAGCACCATTAGACATCAAGAGGAGTTCAGTCCATGTACAGAGATTGGAATATTAGTTTTCAGATGTGCTAAGAGGCTTTGAGAGTTTAATTTCTGTCATCACTCAGAAATATATGCATAATGTGTTAGAGGCCAGAGAGAGAAATTTTACATAAAGGTCTCTAAAAGTTAATTTTCCAGTGTTTGTATTTACATGTGAATACATTATTGGTCCATGACGCATCCAAATTAATTGTCCATAAATGTACAAATCATACATTATACCAGGTTTGACTCTAATGCAGATACTAAACAAGTATATTCTGATAAACATGATATTAAAAACTATTTGAATTTGTCCCTCTATGTGTATACCAGCCTCAAACAGGTAGTTAAATGCTGGCCACTCTCTTCAAATGATCAGGAAACTTGCCAGTAGAAAACAGTTTCTATACTTACTCTTTGTGATATGAGCACATACCTGAGAGGAAATGGAAACATACACACAAAAAATTCACTGCACAATATTTTCAATCCCACCTAAATTAGGGTGAATTCTAGCTGGTTGCTCCCAAATATTTATCCCTTATATGACAAGGACAAGTAGAATTCCCTGGTAAATTTTATGAAATTGAGACATTTAACACGTCAGGCAATGTGTGTTTTTTTTTTTTTGTTTTTTTTTTTTAAAAAGACCCCACATATTTATCCCTTACTCCTCAACAGCAAGCTATTTCAGAAATGTTTCCATTTTGAATGTTTTTATACTATGGAATAACACTGGCATGATAAAGTAATTGTAGTAATATCTAATACTTTTTAATGTAGAGAAAGAATAATTTTTCTAGATGAAATAGGACATATTTCCAATATAGTGAGTTAGACTAATACTGAAAGTTCAGTTGTAGCTGTTGTAAATTTATTAGAATACATTATATTGAAACAACATTTCTTTTTGAGGATCTTTCTTTTATAGTATAGCTATGTGGTGATACTGAAAAAAAAATCAACAACAGTAACAGCAGCAATAATGTGTATCTCTAAGTAAGCACTAGATGGTTTCTAATGATTTGCATAGAAATGGATACAGCCTCCTATATTGCGGTTCTTGTTTTTCAGTATTTTTGTCAGCTATTATTTTATAACTGCATACTGAGATTACAACACTTGCATAAGACCATGCTATTTTTATACGTTTTTTTTTCCCCTATCTAATCATTAAATAAGTAATTCTTGCTCTGTTTCTGGCAGCTACTGATATTGAGTGCTCCAGAAATAAGGCTGTCATCTTGCTTGTGTACCTCAACAATTTTGTCATCTCTGTGCAAAATTACAAAGAGTTGCGCTTGTCAAATAAGATGTTTCTCATCTTAAACAACCTCACAGGCAAAGTTAGTGCCTGCAGAATAGACTACTGGTAACAGTGTCTAACATTTTCCTCTGATACCAGGGGAAACTTTATTTTGGAGACAAAGAAGGAAACTTGCAGAGGTATCACAATCAGGACTGTACTGTCAGAGGTCCATACAAAATTTTAGCCTATTTACAAAACACTGAGAATAACTCAGCTTTAGTTTTGTTAGACTTTGGCAGTTAACTTGGCATAGGTTCCTCTTTCTCAACATACTTAATATCCAAAGAGGCAGAGCAGGACTCTCCTCGTATCTTTTTTCTGACAAGTTGGTGAAGTTATGTGGTGTTTCTCAAGGAAAATGAAAGGAGAGTCTTATATTGCAGAAGTTTCTCTGATAATGCGGAGCACAGAGAAAAGCTATCTGATCTTAATGCTGGGAGTTGAGGAACGAAAAGGAAAGAGAGCAGTAGGACTGGAAAGAGGAAGAGAAAGACTAAGACTTAAATGTACCTAAGCTCTGAAAGGAAGATAAAAAAACAAGTTGCATTTGAGAAAATCAGTACGAGATGGGAGCTAAGCTGGGAGACAGAAGAGAGAGAAACAGGTTGCAGGTGTGGAAAACCTGCAATCACTACAGTACCCTAAAGAATTTTGATTTGACTCCAAAACAAAATAATCCTCTGCTTTCAGACACACCAACTGGCTAACTATGCTATATCTTCTCTTTAACTGACTAGTCCAGAAACAGCCTGCTGCAGTTGTAGTTGCTATTACCAGTTACTGTTATCGCTCATGTGGCTAGAGTTTTGTTTGTGCTGGGAATTCAATTTGAAGGGAATCTAGTTTGGCTTGAAGCACCACATTTGATAACTTTGAGGAGGGATACAGATAATGGAAATAGTGCTTTTGAAGACATTAAATTTATATTAAAATAAATTATGAGTATGTTATAGTTAGAAAGTCAAATATTCAAAAGTTATGATCTCAAACAGAAGTGGCCCAGGGATATTAGCCTAATAAATATATTTAAGCTCGTTTTCTCTAATAGTCTCTACTGTAAAACAGTTGCTAGATTTTTTTTTTTACTGTGGCTTCCCTTAATATTATATGCCTTACCTGGTTCTCTTGTTGGTGCCACAAACAAATTTGCAGAACCTGCTCCAGTCCTTGGCGCTGATGTTTAAGGAATCTGTCCAGTTGCCGCCTCCTGTCTTGTAGCACTTCAAGGAGATTGTCAATTTTCAAGCAGCTGCTGTGGGCTCCCTGAATCAGCTCTGTATTTGCATTTGGCCCCTCACATTTGAATTCTTCTATAAATTCAGTTAGCTCTTGGCTTTTGTTTAAAAGTGCAAGTGACTTTTCCAAAAGCTCTGTAAGAATAGAATTTCATAGGAAAAAACCCAATGTGATTTGTAATTCTAGTAGCATATTTCAATTATAATTCAAGTATTTTTAAATCTTTAAATTTAAATCTTAAATTTAGATCTTAAATATCTATTTACATACATGAGCGTAACGTATTTTCATGCATTAAATGAACAGGTTATAAATACTTACTTTAGATGGTATATGTCCTAAGATATTTCAGTTTGGACAGCTGTTATATAAACCTACAAAGGTATAGCAGTGTATACACATACATATATGTACCTATAATGGTACATAAAATACAACACAATATATATACACATATAATGGTGTACTGAGAGCCATTGAGACAAAACACAGATGTGAGATTTTTTTCTCAAAACTGAGTTTTTTGATGGTTTCCCAATCCTCAGGTAAACTCAAGTGGAATTTCCTACCCTGCTTTCTGTGTGGGTCTGTAGCCTCTGTAGTGTTTTATTACTGATGCAAGCAAAGTTTAGATCTTTACGTCCCTCACAGAAGTTGAAAGAAAAAGCTGTCCTGTCTGGGGGCTCTTATAACCTTATGACTAAGTAAGTCATGAATATCAGGAACTCTTATCTTCTTTCCATAACCTCTACCTAGATACATTCAGGGTTAAAATTCAGTGGACTAGTACACTTTAATGATCTACTAGTCATGTGTCTGTCTTTGTTCCAGCTCCTTAAAGCCACATGGTACAAAATCTATTGAACCGACAACAATCAGTATTTATAGGTCTTTCAAATGAAAAGGAAAAATTTTTAGGCACGGAGTGAGGAAGAAGGGGAGCCAAGCCAGAATAAGAGGCAAGGTAGGCATGAAGAAAAGTATAAGAAAGGAATGGTTGCAAGGAGCTGCTACTGAAGCAACCAACAACAGCTGAAACATTGATCTTCTCAGTTGAGTACATGTACTGGTAACTCAAGGCAAAGCACCCTAAATCTCCATCTTTCATATAAGCACCTAGGGAAGATGCAGAAGTGGAATGCCTCCACTTCTCCAGCCATCAAGGGCTAACAAGAGAGTTTAGTTTCCACAAGCTCCCTGCAACAAGCCTGTCCATTTTACTTCTTGCCTTCCAGAAAGGTGGTATTAATCAGAACTGTTCCATTTCAGTCCATCCAAAATAGAATACATACAGAAATGGATAAACGAGGATAATTCATATATTTTCACCTTTTTTATTCTGATTTGAAATGCATTTGTTTCAAAACTTTTTTTTTTTTTTTGTAATAAACATTTGTGATAAACTACTCATCACATACTGGTAGAGCCAATACTTTGTAAAGGTTGTATTTTCAGCTACCTTACTTTGGAGTGGGTAGATAGTATCCTTCTCACAGAAAGCAATACAAACACTGTTTTTTATCAAATAGCTCAATATCAGTTTTCCAAATTTGATGTGGTTAGATTAAGAAGCCAACCAATTGCAACAACTTTCCTTCATCTGAGGAAAGGCTTATCCCCATCAAAGCAGTCTTTCTCTGGCAAATCATTTCATCTGATTCTTACGGTTTATAGATCCTCTTTTCAGCAATAAATTACTACCAGATACTTCAGCTTAAAATTGCTATACAGTGAACGCTTTGCTCCCATGAAGATCGAATTGGAAGCCCCAAAACCAGTATCAGAATTACCTGAGTTCAATTCTCTATTCAGTCTCCTGAGAAGAATACCTGGCATTCAAGGTAGCTAAAAATATTTAAGCTGGTACTCTACTAGTGAATAATAAAGTACAGTTGACATTCTGCCAGTTATTAGTAACCTTATAGCAAAATTTAGTTAAAATTACAAAGATGGAGTCTTAAGTCTTATAAAAAATACAGAACCATACGGAATTGCAAAGGTGTCTGAAATAGCCACACAATAAGATTGGTTTTGAGAAAATTTTTTTTGCCCTTTTTGAATTAAGAGTATCACAACATAGTAGAAGATGCTTCGCATGAAAATTTGAATGAACAAAAAGAAGTCACGTGGAAGAATTTTTCTAGGCAAACATATGTGCAGGAAAGTTGTGGTGGAAGGGGACAGAGCACATTTTTTCCAGAAGTGTTACAGTTCTAGCTGCAGAACATTTTGGAACAGATCAGACAACTCAATGGGCAAGTGAAACACAGCCCCACTCCTCAAAGGCAGAAGCAAAACACAGGGAACCACTGTAGGCAAATAAATTCTGAAGCTGGTTAGTTACCACCTCTACCTGACAGCTCCCACCCTCACTTCACCACTTTTTCTTCAAACTCCATCCCTAGGCAAAGGAAAGCAGAGGGCAGACTTCTCCCTTGGCCGCTCTCAAGAAACTATAGGAGATTGTTACTAGAGTTGATTGGAAATTTTCTAATGGAAAGTTTTCCACAGGAAAATGCTAATTCATTGATGGCTATGATAACTTTGATGAATTTTTCCCATGGAACGGAAGGACGGTTTTAGAACTTGCTTGCCAGTCAGCCCTAAAAGTCAGCTTGGTTTCTCAGCAGCTCACCTGGCCTGGACTGTCTTGAAATCAGAATACAAGCTTACCACTAGCTGCTCTGCAGCAACAAAGATGGAACCATGAGAGCGCTAGCTCAAAACCAGGAGTTTCATATCTTTCAGGAGGTATGATAAAAAAAAGTTATTTCACCATTACATTTTTCCAAACAGAACATTTTCATATTTGTTCTAGGATTTTATTTTTCTTTTAAATACACACAGGAAGAGTAAATCATCCTTCCAGGAGTCAGCGCACCATCACACGCCATCAGGAGTGGAATACCATTTGTACCTTTTGTATGATGCTCTTGTTGCAGAAGGAGTTCTCTCAAAGAGTCAATGTTGTCAAACTCCTGGGCATTTTTCAGGAAATCTTCAACTTGGTCAATTTTAACAGCAAACTGCATTAAGAAAACAAAGGGTGGGAAGAAGCATGATATAATTTTCTTTTGCAGAACTCCACCATAATCTCTGTATTATAGGGAAAATTCATGAGAATTTGTAAATTCTTGGAAAAATGCATTTTTAGTGCCTGCTAGATACTTTGTGGCCTCTACGCACCTTGTGGTTTTTTGAGGTTCCCATTGATTGAGGGAACCCAAATTTCAGCTGACATACTCTGTAATTAGTTTGTCACTTTATGAATCATCTTTCCTACATAGCCTTCAGACTCACTGAAAATAAATTCTTATGGAAGAATCTGTTTATTTCAAAGCCTTCAGTAAAGTAATTTAACATGAATGAAGCCTTTAACTTAGGTGTCCTTCCCAGAACTTCTTTCTAATGTTAAAGTATTGAGGGAAAAAAAACATTTAAGGGCAACATCAGACAGCAATACAATCTTCAAAGCAATCTTTTGAAGGCAGAAATGAGTAGCAAATTTAAGCTAACAAATATTATAGTAAACACAGTAATTAATTATAGTGGGGAAACAGCATCTCTCTAATGAAGACTGAATTTAGGTTACTCCTTTACAGTTCATTCTTCCATGGGTTCCATATTTTAAATATTGAAACATGCTGTGTTTCAGGGAGATCTGGAGCAGATCTGGTAATCCGCTGAGATTGTTAAAACTAAGATTGGAATTCTTTATTTGGTGGAATTCTTTGTTTAGCTTCCACCTTTGCAGGTGCAATTCCAAGTATGAGTAGCTCAGATAGAGTTGAGACACATATTCTGCATCTTAGCCAATCTTTATCAATTCTACTGCTTCATTTCAAGAATGAAGAAACCAGTAGAGTTCAAACTTGTGTTTTGGTGTAAGCAAAGATGTTGAAACCTATGGTGAAATTAAGGAAGATGAAAAGCAAGCATTCTGCTTTTTCTGTCTTTTCTATTGTTCCACATTTTTCTCCCTCTTGATGTGTATGCTATAAAAGAAATCCATTAGGTATCAACATTTGAGATTTGAGTTCTGATTTTCACTAAGGACTATTCTTGAGATATGTTTTGTGTTTTATCACAATAAAACAAAGATTTCCATAATCACAGGCTGTCATTTAAAGAAAAGCCTTTCCATAAGAAATTTCAGCAACTCTTATTTAAATCGATATTGCATTTCTTCTTCCTTTCTATATATAATGGGTGTGCTCCAGCTGCTGCATTTTGTTTTAATGATATTGTTGCAGGGGCAATTCAGCTAGCCCCTTAAGGATTTAGTCTGCACTAGGTCAACCTTTGGTGGTACAGAATTTATCAGTGACACTTATGCCAACTCTGTACTAATTTATTTGTATAATACACATCGTCAGGACAAAATAATTAGTAGATTGTTGATCTTGGAGTTTTTAGGACAGTTAGCAGTAAAATGGTTTCTTCTGTATTTTATAGGCGGCACTGGGCTATTGTAGAAACAAAATTATCAGGAACAATTAAACTCTTCAAAGCTCCAGGGATGTGGGGACAATTGAATATGAGGCTACACAGAGTGAACATGGAATCCTTCTCTGCTTTAGCTCCCTGTGTATCAGTGAATTAGGATAAGATATACAGACAAATGGGTAAACGGGAAAAACAACACTCTGAAATCTGTCTCTGGGCTCACACAATTCTCCTTTTGTGCACATCTGCACATGGAAGTCTCAAGTAAAAGACTGGCAAGTTAGACTAATATTTAGTCCGCATAATTACAATAGCTGTATGGATATTTCAGTGTAAAACCTTCAGTGGTCAATCTTCAATAAGCATTAGGGAAGGCATCTGAGAATTTAGTTCTTTCAATGCCAAATAATTTGAATCATAAGGAATGAAAGATATTCTGCAGAATGTCCATAGCCATTGAATTATGTATTTTAGGTTTTGGTCCAGTTCCATTTTTCACTGTCATTTTTCTGTCAAGTACAAATTTTGGAGATATCATGACTAAGGTATTTCTTAAAGTCTATATGGTTTTTTGTTCAGTTTCATCCTGAACTATCCAGAAGGTGGAGAAGAAAGGATGCATCTGGAGATTTTATTTTCTAAATTGCTTCAACCTTTAGGAATGCAATGAACATATTTAACAGAGTAAAATTACAGTGGACAGAGTACCTGTAAGATGTGGGTGGTTTTAAATTAAGAGTCATTTGATTTAAATACAAACCTCCAGAGCATTTTCAAAGAACACTGAAGTAAGTTCCAGAAGTGCCTGTCGTTTCTCTAACATAATGATGAGGGCATCCCATGCATCCCCAAGGGTCTCCGCCATGGCATCATAAACCTGACTATTTTCTTTGTTCTCCTCTGCAGCCTTGTCTGCTTCATACAGCAGGTCCCATACCTGGTCTTCCAAAGCCTGAGAAGAGGGGGGGGCGGGGGGAAAGACATCTGTAAACAGAATCCAAAACACTGTGCTGACACTGGTGTCAGGATACTTTTTCAGTAGGTCTGATAAACCACCCACAAGTCTCCTACACCTGCTTTATTTCCACTTCCTAGAGATGGGAGTGTAGCTGTTCCTGCATGTTTCATAGCAAGCTTCTGAATTTTATCTGCACTTAAGAGGCAATATTTTTATGAAATTTCATTTCAAAACAAGTGCTAAGAGAATTTATTATCCTATCTCTAATATTTAGATTCAAATAAGTTTACATCTCCTTAAACACAGATCTTCCTGGAAGTGGTAGTAATGAAGGTATTTTGGATCATCTTTGAAATGTCATCATATTACATTACCCGACATTACAAGCTCTAAGAGTTTGTAAGGTAACTTACCCATAAGTCTCCGATGACTTCAACACAGACAAGGCACAGACAATCCAGACAAGAGTAGCTTGAACATATGTGCATATTCTCCAGAAAAACACCAAATTTATGCAATGTTTCAAGTTCAGCTCTCCGCATTGCCCAAGCTGGCCGCCAAATAATAATACACTATTGTCAAGAAAATCATTCTACTGTGTTTCATTACCTCACTATGAGAAAGATAACTGCTGGGCCATTTCCAGCTTATATTGAAAATCTTTAGTGTGTCAGAAAAATTGATTAGCATTTGTTCTTTATTCTCCCCTTCCTCCCCCTCCCCCCCATCTCGGGTTTTATTATGAGCATGAATTAATAAAGTGCCAATTTCTGCTGTTATTAGAGGTGCTATCACATGAATGTGTAACGGGAGAAGAAATCTGTATTAGGCAAATTAAAATCTATGATAACTCATTCTCATGACACAGATGCTAATAAAGGTTAAGGAATTGGAAAACTTGAAATTCTCCTGACAGATCCAACTGAAAAGAGGAAATTGCAGAAAACTTTATTGTTCTAAACACAGAACCATAACCTCCAGTCCTCCCCAGACCTTGTATACTACACAAAGATATCAGCTTGAACTGAAGAGACTCATCACTTCTCTCTAAAAGCAGTACTATGAGAACAGTATAATAAACTATGGAACTTTTATTCTTTCTTTGAAAAAAATAGAATGAAATGATTTTAACTTAACTTTACAGACAGCCAACTATGAAAATAGTGGTAAAATTAACAGGCATAAAAGCAAAAGCAGCTCCAACAAACCCACCTTTTTCTACAGTATATAGAAAAGTCATTATCAGCAACATAAATGCATGCTTACTGTTTGGTGACATCAAAAAGAGTATCTGATCAAAAGCCAGTGTTCTAGAGAACAATACACGCTCTACTTCATTTGCTGAATACCAAGAATGGGAACTGCTGCTTTTTAATCCTTCTGTAAAACCAACTCTTTTTGTTCTGTTGAATCCCTATCCTGATTGCCTCACAATATGAGAAGAAAAGCTCAAATTCCCCAAATGTTACCTGTTCTGTATTTAAGTAGAAATCTAATTAACATTTATTTAAAATTATTCTTTGACTTTAAATGAGGTCATTTGCATGGAGTAGATACTGTCACTCTGGTGTAACTATTGATAGCAACTATTTTATACCTCCATAATATCACGATGAGACAAGAATCAGATCAGGAAAAACAGTTGGCCTGGGGAATCCAAAGTACTCCAGTCAACCTTTATTCAAGAATATTTATCTAGCTGACAAGGTAACTAAGGGTTGCTGCAGGTGTTTTTCTAGTCTTACATGCAGCAGTCAGAATACTTATTATCAGAAATAAAAAAACAGCAGCACTGACTCATGATAATTTTTAAACTGCAGAGATTATATGCTTGTACAAGTAATAAAATTTAAAACTCAGCTTCATCAAAACAATGATAACGGTAAGGTAATGAACCGAGCTCATGACAATTTTAAATGAAAATCCAGCTTTCGCTGCAATCTTTAACACAGTTCTTTCAACTCTTTCTTGGTTTTTCTTTTATTGGTTTGCATCATTATTTAGCAGATAAGTTTGACTTCATTTGAAAAAGTGAATGCCATAAGCTAAAAGATAAAAACATGGAAAATTCTGCTGTCATGACTCCATTCATTATGTCCACTTTCCTCTATTTGTTGGGTTTCCTAATCATGACACTTTTTTCAGACATTGCAGCAGTTCAGCAAAAGGAGAATATGTCTTATTATTGGAGAAACAATCCCATAAGAAATATTGGCTTTTAGTGGAGAATGAAGTTATGACACACCTGGAATAGATATTCCATAAAACAACATCAGAATTCTAAGTGTTCAGTCAAATTCATTCTGCTGAAAATAAAAAGCTCACTTTAAAGCTGATGGCTAGAAAACAAATCTGGAGATTTAATATGCTAGCAGTCATTGTTTTCAGTTAAAAATGACAAAAAGTCAGGGATTATTTTCCCTGATATTTATCAAGGAACTGGGAAATGAGCAAAAGGGTAGTATATAGTATTCCTACCTCTCTCAGAAAACAGATTACAGTTTACTGAAAATAATGAAGGTTTGGGTTTTTTTTTTCTACTGGTATTTACCTTCAGAAGTAACCTACAGGCATGATGGCTGCGTAATCGGGCACATCTTTGTCTACATTGTTCACTTGTTTGAGAACACTGCATTTTAGGTAAGGTCTTGAAATCTCCAATGGTCAATACAATACTAACAGGAAGAAAGAAGTTACTTCATGTGGAAGGCCACTTTACCCATCTTTTCAGGCCCCATCCTCTGTTTTCCACTTTTCCCTTGTTGGTAACTTCAGACACACAGGATTTTCATAATAAAAACAGATCTAGCACATCAAAGGCAAACCTGCATTAATAATGCAGTCACATTTCTGTTGTGTTATATAATGTTAGTAAAATTGGTAGTTAGACTCATGTGCTATTTCTTTCTCATCTTACTAATTATGCCACTAGATTTTTTTTAAGCTTTTGTGCAAGGAATACTAATGAACAATTTCTTTAATCGAAGACATTTACCAATAGGTAAATGAGCATACATAACTATAATATGCTGCTCTACAAATAGTCTATACATTCAAGAAATATATTTTAGTCTTCCAATTTATTTCTGATGCTGGCTGTTCCTGTTATCATTCTTTACATTTCACAGACAACATAAAGGCAGGATACGACATTTACATTGTTTCAAAACAGACCTAGATATTAATTCTTAAAATCTATTTTGAAAACACAACCAGACTGCTTGCAAGATGATTTTAAAAGGCTTCCCCAATAAAAGCACAGTATAAAACAATGTTTTTATTACCACGAAGACACAGTCACAGATAATTTGACTAGCTTTTCAGACACATAAAAGAGGAGTTTATTACTAATTTTCCATGTCACATTGCTTTGGTTTCTGTCCAATTTCAAAATAATCAATATTTTCTAACTGCATATGATAACATAGCATGAAATGCCTAGAGCTCTGCTTGTCTACAGGACACTTACTCGAAGTGATAGCACTCAAGACCCAAATTCAACACTAAAACTATTTTACATTTAGAAAAAGAATATTCTAGAAGAATCATGAATCAGGAAATAAGATATGATTTTTTAAAAGCTATAAAAATGGAAAATAAATAAGGTTTATGGATTTTATTCATTTTTTCAATAGCTTAACTACTGATAAATAAGGGTATGAAGACACCACAAAAGGGAAAAGAAAATAACAAACAAAGGTTTCATGTACAGACTGGGTCATTCTCCATTCTTGTCATTTATCACCCAACACTAGGAAATATCTGTTATGTCTTAAAATCTGTTTTAAAATAGACCTAAAATTTAGGACTCTGTCCTACAACAAACTGCCTCCATGTGGCTTTTTGATTCTTTGATTTTGATTCACTTGTACGACCTTCTAGTAGGAAGTGCAAGTTCATGTCAGAGTTCAAGTACTAAATGTCAACTCACTTTTATGCAGTGTTAAAATTTTCATCATTTGGTTTGTTCTAAAGTTCGGTGAGAAGACTGGAAAATGGTGAGGATACTTGCTTCTCTGGGCAGCTACCTACTCTCAACAGGCAAGGGATAAACCAAACCCACAGTTTTAACAATTGATACCATGGGTGAGATTCTTGTCCCCTCACTTTCCGGCCACTTCAAGAGAGCTGGAGTCCCTGGAAGCCCTCAATTTCTTTCCAATCTGCAAAGTGTGGCTCTAGTGAAGAGGGAAACCATGAGATTGTTTCTTGAAGCAGTCATTTGCCAGGTGAGGACAGAAACATAAAGCAGCATGGAGTGTACAGACCACTCGGCCTCAGAGACATTTATTACTGAAAAAGCCATTTGCCCTCTGTTTCTTTGCCCCCTGCATTTTGTTCAAGGTCAGTTCAGCAGATGTTCCAGCCCAGGGTTGAGAGCTTGTTACTTCCCAAACGACTTCCCTCTTTGCTATGAGTGCTGTGCTTCATCACAGATTCTTACTACTCAAAGGTTCTAAAGAATGTGAAAGGTCATGTGATTTTTTTTTGTTTGTTTTTAACTGCTAAGTTAAAATTATTTTATGTTATAACACACAGTTTACCCTCTTATTTATAGGCAGGCATTTTTAGTTGTAGTCTATGGGCTACAAAGTTGCTTTCAAACATGCTGAGATATTTGTATATCTCTGCTGCTACAGAATTATCTCATTTCAACAACATTATCTACAAAATATTATGTAGCTAGGATTGGCTTTAGGGAAAAAAAGATACTTTCTACCGCAAGGAGCATACCAAGGCATGAACTATTCACAGTATTTCTAAATCTTGGTAAATCTTACGTAGAGCTGCAAAACATTGCACTGAAGTATGTGCATCTGATCTTCACATTTCATTTCAGTGTAATCTTCAATAGCAAAGCTACTGAATTTATGGATTTTAAACTACTCAAGCCAGTTTATGTAGCAATAAAGAAAGACAAAACCCAGAAATATCTTATAGTCTGATCAAGCCTGAAGTCAAGTCAATCTTGCTCCATAGTAAAATATTCTGGA